TCCCTCACTGTTGCTGCTGCTCAACCATCACACTGCTGCCTATCCATGCTACTGCTGTCTATCCATGCTACTGCTGTCTATCCATGCTACTGCTGTCTATCCATGCTACTGCTGTCTATCCATGCTACTGCTGTCTATCCATGCTACTGCTGTCTATCCATGCTACTGCTGCCTATCCATGCTACTGCTGTCTATCCATGCTACTGCTGTCTATCCATGCTACTGCTGTCTATCCATGCTACTGCTGCCTATCCATGCTACTGCTGTCTATCCATGCTACTGCTGTCTATCCATGCTACTGCTGTCTATCCATGCTACTGCTGTCTATCCATGCTACTGCTGTCTATCCATGCTACTGCTGTCTATCCATGCTACTGCTGTCTATCCATGCTACTGCTGTCTATCCATGCTACTGCTGTCTATCCATGCTACTGCTGTCTATCCATGCTACTGCTGTCTATCCATGCTACTGCTGTCTATCCATGCTACTGTTCGACTTGTATCTGTAAGTCTTCACCTGCTTGTTAAGCTAATGTAATGGTCACATTGTCAGTATACACGCTAAGCCGCGCTGCAGTTATTTACCTATTTTATCACATTGCTTAGCTTTGTTCTTCAGCCCATGCTGCTGCTTCACGCTGCCGTTAGCTTCTGCTCACTCAGCTTTGTGTGTCGCCGCAGGGCTCCTTCATCCTTGTCATTAGAACCATTTGTGACATCGAGGAGTGCATTTCTTCACAGACCAGACAAGGAGAAGTGGTTCGCTGCTGTAGTTGAGCAGCCCTGTCTCAAAAACCTGAGCTTTAAACATTCATTAAATACACGTTTGTGTCGTTGTTCCTGCTGTACCTCCCTCAGGCTATACCAGAGACAGCTGCTGCTGATTACCATCAAACCTGATGATGTCACGGTTCCTAAACAAACTGGAGTCGTGTGTTAAGCCGGAGTCATGCTTCTCCGTCAGCTCCAGCAGGGACAGACACGCACAGACGGAGATGTTTAGCCTTCATACTTCTCCGTCTCCTGGAGAGTGTTGCAAAGCAATTCCCCGCCAGGACAGCAGAGGGCGTAGCGCTGTTCTGTGGTAACCTGTCATGTATCGGTCCAAGATAGTGTGTTTATATTGTGTTTTTTTGTATATAAGAGACTTTTTAACACGGACAAATTTGTCTCTCATCCTCCTCCACCTCTTCATGCGCTCGCCACCTCTAAACCCACGTTTCCGGTCATTTCCGTCCACAAATGAAACGCTTTTCACTCCTCCAGTCACGGGGGAATGAAACGTTCATGTTTTTAGAGTATTTTTGCGAGGTATTCTTCAAGCTTCCCCTTGTCTGCCGCTAGTTATTCTCGGCTCTCTTTATGTTTTTGAGGGCGGCGGTGTAGACGACAGCGGCGTCCAATCACAAGCTTGCGTTCTCCGTCTCGACGGACGGATGTTTAGAAAAGAGAGCTCGACTCCGTCCGTCCGTCCTTGCGGGGCTCTCCAGCAGGTTCACGAGGACGGACAATGGCGTTGCGTGTCTCCGCACCGACGCAGACGCAGAAGCGTGACTCAGGCTTCAGTCAGCCGAGTTCAGGCTCAGCGTCTATAAAACTGTAAATCAACAACCCATGAAAGAAGAGATGAGGCAAAAATATTATTATATATATATTATATATATTAGATGATCTCAGTCAAACTTCCTGTTTCATCATTTCCGATTTAAAAGAGGAGAAAGGGCGAAGCGTCCGGCGTGGGCTTTAAAAACGCTCTCTTTCATTTGTGTTATCAGAAAATAGACTAAACCCAAGTGAATGTGCAGGGTCAGGGTTAGATGAAGGAACGGTCTCGTAAAGGTCTCATACCTTCAGCGCTGACTAACCATTTAGTTTGTAAAGACGTTCCTCCACCATACTTGGTTTGCTTCAAAGGTTGTCCAAAAACGACTTGTTGTGACTCGTGGCTAGTTCAACCGGCCTCACACGGGACGTTGGGATTCACATCTAAACCTTGGGTTGGTGGAGGATTTTCCCAGCGAGTCACAGGATCTCTAAATCCCACCTGTTCAGCCACAAACAGCATGTGAGAGTTCAACAGGACCAGGACCAGGAACAATGTCAGACTCGTCCTTGCAGGACGCTCGCCTGAGATGGCTAATCTGAGAGAATGCTCCTAATCTGATTTATCAGCGTCTCAGCTGCAGCAGATCTGGTGATTGCACCTATTACCTGAGCTGCTGCTGCATTCGTGCCTCGTTACCGTCACACACGTTCACGAAGCGGCAGGCCGTGGAGGAAAGGGGCATGAATGGGTGAGGCTTTATTGGATGAGGAGTGTGATGATTCCTTTTCGTCCTAATCTCTGCTTCTTCACACCGGCTCCCCACCCCTGCCGCTCTCTTTAAACTGCTCTTATTTAGGAGATCTCGTCTATGCAGACCACTGAGCGCACACATTGAGCAGCAATAAGATAAACTGCAGCTCTTTTTTATTTCTGCTCCTTCCCACAGAGTCGACGCTGACGCGCATTTATCCCAAACATTCAATGGAAATGTGAGACTCTTCATATTCATGCTCGGTGTCTTTCTGGGCATCTTCTTACCAGACCAAACCGCCCTGTTTTCACCTGAGGGGTGTCCTTCTTGGTGGGGGGAGTCACACCAACAATCATCTCATTTAGCCCCCGTGAAGCTGTGTTAATAGCCCCAAAACCATGCTGCTGAAGCACAGCGGAGTGCAGACAAATCCGTCAGGCTGATGAACTCTCGCTCAGGCTGGGGCTGATGTGGGTTTAGATAGGAGAGAGTCTGCAGGAGAAGGCGTGGAGAGCTTGTACCACCCTCTAACACCACAGAAAAGACGTCCGTGATCTTTTAGTTTGACTCAACAGCGAAACAGAACATCACGCTTAAAGACGCATGAAGCAGAAATCAAAAGCTTTTAGGACAACAGGAACAACGATGCAGCTTCAGGACGGCGGCGTGTTGACACCCCAGGACGGATTTGGGTGGCTGACGCAGTGTCATCACTGATCCGGTCGCTGCTAAGCCACGCTGACACCTGCACGAATCCATTGGACATGGATCCTGAAGAAAAGCAATCTGGCCGGACCGGACAAGCTCTTTGGTTTTTCCGAGGTGTCGACAGTGAGGCCGGAGCGATGGCGGTGCAGACCAACACGTGATGGAATACCCGTTCTCTCTTTTTGGGCTTTTTTAAAAACAACGTGGGAAATATTTACAGCATTTGTAATTTAAATTTTTTTTAATCACAAATAAATGTTTAGTCAGTCACAGAAAGAGTCGTCTGACTGAAGGCAAATCTTTATTTAAAACCCGATTTACAAACGATGCTGCGTTAAAGTGTTTAACAACACTCTGTTGTCTCGCTAGAACAATAAAGTCTGGAGTGATTTAACATCATTAACATCATTTTAATATCTGGTCCAGCTGTTATTGAAATATTGCACATGTGCAATCCTAGTGGTTTAGTCTAGGCCTCTTTGGTATTCTGTTGTTTAAGTTGAATCCAAAAGGTTTACAGTCAGTTTCTACAGAATAAAAAGTGACTCATCTTAATGCAAATCATTCGGTGGGTTTTCTCGTGGAACGGTCCAAAAGCAGCTATCTCCTCCACACAGTCACGTCTGTTTTCATTCTGCTGTTTCACTGACCGCAGTTCAAAAAATATTCATGTGCAAATGTCATTTTTAACCATACATTTAGCACAATTTCAGTCCATTTTGTATTTGCATTTATTTAAACGATGCAACTGTTGCAGGATTCTTGTGGAATAGGGTTTTGTGCATGCAGGCCTGGTCTCAGTAACACCCCAGGTGAATCCTGCTTGTGTTTTCAGCGTTCAGGTGGGTTTCACGTGCAGCTGCTTCACCTGAAGCAAAAAGCTGCTTAAACAAATACAACATTAAACAAAAGGCCAAATATCATTACCATAAATTATATTTTAATGCTAATGGTCCAAAATCATTGCAGCTAAGAAAAGTTCTTGTTCGTTGCTTGTTTTTCTGGATGTGGAAACTGAAAGCTTCCTTGTTATTTGCTACTGAGCCACTTCCTAAACTTGCTCATATTCATCTGAACCTGCTGATGCTGAATTGTGGATTTCTGTGATGAGAAAATTTAAGATTTTAAAATGAGTCTAAAAGAAAAGTAGTTTTAAAGATAAAAACACGTTTAAAACTGAACTTTTGGATGAAACTCTGCATCTCGTGAACCTTTTCCCAAACGTGCAGTCATTCATCTTGGGGTGGCGCATTAACCAACCATTTTCTCTGTGAGCATCGTCTTTACTGATAATGGGACAGATTATGCACATTCATTAGCATTATCATCACAATCATCATTACTTTGTGCTTAGCATAATAAGAGCATTCAGCTGTTTCTCTTCTCAGGGTTTTCCCCGACTGCCAGTTGAGACCGGAGCCGCTCCAGAAACAGTAAAACCTCTTTTGTTTGGAGGCTTTTGTGTAACACATTTAATCTGGCATAAACTAATCCCAGACACAAATATGAATACGTTCATTCTGAGGGGCAGTAAGAGCAGATCCATCTATAGAAACTGATGTGTTTGTTCCTGACTTGCTGCACCTCAGCAGGTGCTGCTTTCACAGCCTGATCTGGGACTTTGTATCCAGCTCATTAAGAAGTGATCAGGTGCAACGTGTGCACGGCCGATGGTGACCACTGTACCTTTAACACCACAGAGACACAACCAGAGTAATGGAAAAACTAAAAGATCATTCCAGGTGAGAAAAGCTGATCTCAGGGGTCAAACAGCACAAAGCCAGGTGCAGATTAGGAGGGAAGAGAGAATGAAAAGGTGGATCTCAGAAGGAGAATGTACTGAAAAAACAATATTCCCTACTTGACAGAGGTTTCGTCTCACACCAGACTAAACGACATCCCTAATTCTGATTTTGAAACGAGAATTTCCTCACGTTTCCTTCCCTGTACACACAGGTGGGCTCACACTCGTAAAACAGGAAGTTTGCTCCTTACCTGTAATGATGTAGAGCCTAGATCAGGATCAGGGTCCTCCCTTCTGCAGGCTCAGCTCCTATCCTTCGGCTCAGGGTTTCAACAACTAAACGCATGCCTCCTCTGGGGCTTCTTATAACGGCACACCCCTTCCCTCCTGGCTCAGCCCTCCAACCCCCCCTCCCCTCTCTTGAGCATCAACATTCATATCACAGGAGAGAGCTAGAGAAGGAGGTGGATTCCCCCATCCTGCTACGCACAAACTGGGGGCCCGTGCTGACGTAGGAGGCAATGCCTACGCCACCAATTTCACCCTCAGTGAACTAATGGGGCTCTAAAAATATGCAGCATCCTCCACGGGATTGATTCAGAAGCCTCGAGTTTAAGGCGTCTGACCAGCGCCGCCCTGCTGTTAAGGTCAGGGACACAATGGGGCTTCCAAATCCAATATTGTCTCCAGAAATCCAATGTTGATTACCAGTAGGCAAAGCCATGGAGATGATTATAGGTCGATGCAGTCGCTTTTGTTGGAAAAGGTTAAAATATCTCCTTTTGTGTCACCTGCAGTTATGGCACACCTGAACGACAAGGAATAATGCATCTGAATGATCCTGCAGGTCATTACTCAGACCAGACATCCTAACCCTAACCCTGCACAACACACTCAATCACTCATCTAACACACATTTGGGCAATAAAGAAATGTCATCTGATGTTGGCTGTACGTGTATTTCAGCTGATTTGTATTTGCCTCACTCCTCAACACCAGAACAGCTGCTGTGGACGAGGACGCAATTATGCTTTCTTGTTTTGATCATCAAGAAAGAAAATCAGCGTTTGATTAGAATTCATTTTGATTTCACATAAATGCAAATGTCCTGGCCAGAAGACAAGAAAAAAGGTCAGCGGATCTCATCAGTGATACAGATCAGTTGTCAATAGCCTCTGAGATACTGTTTGTACCTCCTGCTGCCGTTGGGAAGTCCTACCAGAACAATCTAGTGTGTGTCTGTCATCACCTGGATCAGCAGGTATGTCTGACCTTGTTGTGTCTAGCTGATTCTCCAAACCAAGAGAAAAAACCTGATTAGTCATAAAGATTTGGTGCATCTGGTGTCCCTCAAGGTTTCATTTTAGGCCCGCTCTTGTTCTCACTGTATATGTTGCCCCTTGGCGCCATCTTTCATAAGCATGGCATCTCATACCACTTCTTTGCGGACGACGTGCAGATATATGTCCCACTACATTCTCGAAGGCCATCGTTTGATAAATTACTGAATTGTCTAAACGACGTTAAAAACTGGCTACAATTGAACCTTCTCACTTTAAATGACAAAAAAAAAAAAACTGAAATTGTCGTTTCCGGGGACCGTGGGCTGTTGCACGGGGTAAACGGTGTTTTTGGCCCTTTAGAATCCTTTTGGGTGTCTCTGGCAAGAAATCTGGTTTTTTTTTATTGACGGCCATTTTAAGCTTTATAAACAGATAAGTTCTGTTGTCCAGAGCGTGTTCTTTCATTTGCGTGTTCTTAGTAAAGTCAAGCCCTATTTACCAATTAAAGACTTTGAAAAGGTTATGCACCTGCTAATCATGTCGAGACTCGACTACTGCAACTCTCTTTGTCATGGACTGGAGCAGTCGTCCATTCACCGCTTGCAGGTGGCTCAGAATGCGGCAGCTCGCTTGCTGACAGGTAGGAGACGCAGGGATCACATAACTCCAGTCTTACTAGCTCTTCACTGGCTCCCGATCACTTACAGGATTCAGTTTAAAATGCTACCGATCTGTTTTAAGGCACTACACAATTTGGCCCCTCCCTATCTGTTGGAACTTTTAAACACTCATGTCCCCAAATGAAACCGCCGATCATCCTCTCTACGTCTATTATCTGTTCCCCAGTCTAGGCTGAAGTCCAGAGGGGACAGAGCCTTGTCTGTGGCCGTTCCCAAGCTCTGGAACAGCCTTCCCCCACAGATTAGGTCTGCTAACAGCCTTTCTGCCTTTAAGTCCCTTTTTACCCTTGCTTTTAAATTTAAAAACTGATTTCTTCGTTCATTTATTTTACATAGGGTCTACTGGATGTTTCTCAGTGTTTTATCATTTTATTTTTACTGCTTGTCTGTGTACAGCACTTTGTCTCTGATTGTTGGAAATGTGCTTTATAAATAAACTTGACATTGACAATACACACAAACTTTATTTAAAACAAACTCTTTGACTTTTATTCAACTTTAACCAGAACAACTTCTATGAAAGCTTTTAATCTACACAGACCATCAACCACTAAATAAAATCTTTCATTTATCCATTCACCCATCCATCCATCAATTAATTCATCCATTCCTCTATCTATCTATCCATCCATTCATCCATCCAACTACCCATCCACCCATTCACCCATCCATCCATCCATTTATCCATCCATTCATCCACCAATCCATCCATCCTTTCATCCAGCCACCCATCCATTAATCTATCCATCCATTTATTTATCCATACATTCATCCACCAGTCCATCCATCCATTCATTCACACTTCCATCCATGCATCAATCCATCACTTTATCACCATCCACCCATTCATCCATCCATCCATCTACCCATTGACCCATTCATCTATTTATCCATCCATCCATTCATCCACCAATCCATCCATCCTTTCATCCAGCCACCCATCCATTAATCTATCCATCCATCCCTTTATCCATACATTCATCCACCAGTCCATCCATTCATTAATTCACACTTCCATCCATGCATCAATTCATCCCTTTATCCATCCACCCATCCATTTATCCATAATCTACCCATCCATTCATCTGTGACAGGGTGAGCGTCCTGTCACTGTGTCCTGATTGATCATGCATCCTGGCTACTTGGCCAAGGGGATGTCTCTTTGGCTGACTGGTTAGCACACATGACTCTCACCCGGGAATCTGGGGATGGATCCCGCCCGGGCCCTCGATTCTCTGCCTTGTCACACATCCTTCCATCCATTCTCTCTATCCATTCATCCATTTATCCATTTCTATAGGTGTTGCACCTGTGGGGGATGTGGTGTTTTTCTAATGAGGAGGTTAAATTCCCACGATTTTCCCGCAGTTTAAATTAAAAAAACGTTACTATCAGACCGATCCAACCCCCCCCCCCCCACCCCCCGGCCTGGTGTTACGTCAGTATTCCGGCCGGTTCCATTGTTGAAACGCATTTCCCCACCGCTCCGCACCGCCAAAGCCGCAAAAAATGCATGTGCTCATTACAAGCTTGCTCCCGGGGTGCGCTCTGATTTTGGTTTAATACAAGTTGTTTGATTATGAACACTTTGTAGAATCTAGTCGCACTAGTGAGCGCAAAGCCAAGCTCTGGTGTCACAATAACGTGATGAGCAGCTCCTGTCTAACGAGGACGGACAGGTGTCATCGTGCCAAAGTAGTTATCCCCACCATAAGTTGTTTCCCCTGCGTCCGGAGCGCATACAGGTGTTATGTCAAATTCAGTTACCCCCTCGAGATCTGTTTCAGCTCCAACCAACCAAAAAATGCGTATCCTAACTCTAACATAGCCCTATGACAAACATAAAACTTGTCTCAGGCAGAGCTCTTTCATAAATTATAATTGTGCAAACCCAAACATTTTTGGTGATTGAGTGGTTTTGGTTAGGCATCAGGGAGATGTTTATTTTTTGTGAGAGGGGAACTCAAATTGACATAACACCAGTGCCCAATGCAGGGAAACACATTTTGGCGGGGGTTGCTATTGGCTCGACAGCGGAACCAGGCCAATTCCCGGGGCCATCTAAGGTCGGTGTGTTTTGTTTTTTTCGGGCCGGTGTCACTCTGTAGATCACCTGCTGCCGATGAGAGGATTTCTCCTGTCAGGAACAGGTGAGCTGCTGCCAACCCTAACCCAACCAGCTTCTGCTCCTAGAAACACGTTCTACGCCCAGACTGTAGTGACCTGTTATTTATTATTATTAAGTGAATGCACGAAACCCAAAGATGCCTGAATATTTTCTCCCACAGCTCAGCTCCGTTAGAAATAAGCAGCAGCTTCAGATGGACAATATCAAATATACAAATAATTCACAGAAAACTAATTTTTTATGAAAAAAGAATATTAATAATTTTAATTGTAATTCATTTCTAAGGTTTGGATGTTTGTGAACATTACAGAATATTCTGATTGGTGTAAATAACACATGATAATAATAACAATAATAATAATAATAACAGGTCTAACGTGCGTTTGAGGTATAACACTCTGGCCTGGGCCTAAAGCCCTGCATTTATCTATATAGATATATATCTATATAGATAAATATCTATACAGATATATATCTATATCTGTATAGATTTATATCTATATAGATATTTATCTATACAGATATATATCTATATAGATATAAATCTATACAGATATATATCTATATCTGTATAGATTTATATCTATATAGATATATATCTATACAGATATATATCTATATAGATATAAATCTATACAGATATATATCTATATAGATATATATCTATACAGATATATATCTATATCTGTATAGATTTATATCTATATAGATATATATCTATACAGATATATATCTATATAGATATATATCTATATCTATATAGATATATATCTGTATAGATATATATCTATATAGATATATATCTATACAGATATATATCTATATAGATATAAATCTATACAGATATATATCTATATAGATATATATCTATACAGATATATATCTATATCTGTATAGATTTATATCTATATAGATATATATCTATACAGATATATATCTATATAGATATATATCTATATCTATATAGATATATATCTGTATAGATATAGATATATATCTATGGATGGATGGATGGACGGATGAATAAATGTATGTATGTATGTATGTATGGATGGATGGATGGATGGATGAATGGATGTATGGATTGATAAATGGACGGATGGATGGATGGACGGATGGATGGATAAATTGATGGATGAATAAATGGATGGATGGATGGATGGATGGATGGATGTATGGATGGATGGATGGATGGATTGATAAATGGATGGATGGCCTAAAGCCCTGCATATATCTATATAGATATATATCTATATAGATATATATCTATATCTGTATATATATATATCTATATCTAT